GCCCGTGCTGCAACGCGCGCAAGAAGGACGCCGTCCTCACCAAGTGCTTCCACGTCTTCTGCTTCGAGTGCGTCAAGAGCCGCTACGACACCCGCCAGCGCAAGTGCCCCAAGTGCAACGCCGCCTTTGGCGCCCACGACTTCCACCGCGTCTACATCAGCTGAGCCCCTCCCCCCCCGGGCCACCCGCCGTGGCCAAAGGTCAACCCCGCTTGGCCAAGGTCAACGTTGGGGGTCGTCACCACATTGGACCCCCAATTTTCCCCTTTCTTGACCGTCAAGGTTGAGTTTTGACCAACCGGTTGACCCTTGACCTTTCTCTGGTGGCCCCTGACCACCCATGGCCACCCACCACGACCAAAGGTCAAACCCACTTGGCCAAGGTCAACGTTGGGGGTCGTCACCACTTTGGACCCTCGAGTTTCCCCATTTTTTGACCCTCGTGGTTGAGTTTTGACCAACTGGTTGACCCTTGACCTTTCTCTGGTGACCCATGACCACCCACCATGACCAAAGGTCAACCCCGGTTGGTCAAGGTCAACGTTGGGGGTCGTCACCACATTGGACCCCCAAATTTTCCCCTTTTTTGACCGTCAAGGTTGAGTTTTGACCAACCGGTTGACCCTTGACCTTTCTCTGGTGACCCACGGCCACCCACCATGACCAAAGGTCAACCCCGGTTGGCCAAGGTCAACGTTGGGGGTCATCACCACTTTGGACCCCCAAATTTTCCCCTTTTTTGACCCTCGTGGTTGAGTTTTGACCGACTGGTTGACCTTTGACCTTTCTCTGGTGGCCCATGACCACCCATGACCAAAAGTCAACCCCGGTTGGCCAAGGTCAACGTTGGGGGTCGTCACCACATTGGACCCCCAATTTCCCCATTTTTTGACTTTCATGGTTGACCTTTGATCCTGCAGCCCCATAGTGACCCCCAGGTGACCCCCAGGTGACCTCTGACCCCCCCACAATAACCAAAGGTCAACCCCGGTTGGCCAAGGTCAACGTTGGGGGTCGTCACCACCTTGGCCCCCCAATTTCCCCATTTTTGGACTTTCATGGTTGACCTTTGACCCCCCAGCCCATAGTGACCCCCAGGTGACCTCTGACCCCCCCACAATAACCAAAGGTCAACCACAGTTGGCCAAGGTCAACGTTGGGGGTCGTCACCACCTCAGACCCCAAATTTCCCCCCTTTTTTGACCCTCATGGTTGACCTTTGACCCCGTAGCCCCATAGTGACCCCCAGGTGACCTGTGATGACCCCACAATGCCCAAAGGTCAACCACACTTGGCCAAGGTCAACGTTGGGGGTCGTCACCTCTTTGGACCCTAAATTTCCCCCCTTTTTTGACCCTCATGGTTGACCTTTGACCCCTTAGCCCATAATGACCTCCAGCTGACCTTTGACCCCCCCACGATGACCAAAGGTCAACCACAGTTGGCCAAGGTCAATGTTGGGTCATCTTCACCTTTGACCCCCAATTTCTCCACCTTTCGATCTTCGTGGTTGACCTTTGACCCCGCAGCCCCGTAGTGACCCCCAGGTGACCCCGGTTGGCCCCGCCCCCTTTCCCCTCCCCCCCCCAATAAAGTTGTCGAAGCCGTTCC